CAGCATACTATAATGATATATACCCATGTTTACAACAGCACAACCCACAGTAGCCCAACTATGGAACCAGCTTAGGTAGTGTCAATGAATGAATGAATAAAGAAAAATAGTATATGATGAAGTTTTATTAAGCTATAAAGAAGAATGAAATTATGTCATTTACAGGAAAATGGATGGAACTTGAAAACATTATGTTAAGCAAAATAAGCCAAATTCAGAAAGTCAAGGACCATATGTTTTCTTTCATATGTGGAATTTAGGAACAAGGAAAAGAAAGTTTGGGGGGAATATCTTATGAGAATCAATGGGAAATCAGTAAAGGAAATGGACCAGGGAGGGAGGAAGGAAGAGGAAGGGGAAATACTAGGGGCTGTTATTGTCCAAATATGTTATAATATTGTGTGCATGTGCAAATATGTAACAAAGAATCCCACCATTATGTACAACTATAATGCATCAATAAAAAAATGTGGAAAAAATGTTCATACTACCCAGAGCAATCTACAGATTCAGTACAATTCCTATCAAAATCCCAATGACATTTTTCACAGGATTAGGCAAAACAATATTAAAATTCATGTGGAACTACAAAAGACCCAGAATAGCCAAAGCAATCTTGAGCAAAAAGATAAAAGCCTGATTTATTGCAAACCTATAGTGAATCAAAACATCATGTTATTGCCATAAAAACAGACACATTCATCAATGGAACAGAATATAAAACTCAGAAAAATAAATCATGCATTTGATTAAGTTGCTAAGAATACACATTGAGGAATGAGCAGTCTCTTCAATAAGTGGATAGCCACATGCAGAAGAATGAAGCTAGACCCTTATATATGTATAACAAATCAACTCAAAGTAGGTTAAAGACTTAAGCATAAAATTTGAAACTGAAAAACTTTTTAGGAGAAAACTTCAAGACATTGGTCTGGGCAATGATTTTTTTTTTTTTTTTTATATGACCCCAAAGTACAGGCAAAAAAAAAAAAAAAAGACCAATGGGATTATATCGAACTAAGAAGCTTCTGCACTGCAAGGGAGTCAATAAGCAGAATGAAGAGACAGTCTACCAGATGGGAGAAAATATTTGCAAATCACATATCCAATAAGAAAGAGGATGATATTCAAAATATGTAAGGAACTCAAATCAATGGTAAGAAAACAAACAACCTGATTAAAAAATTGGAAAAGGACCTGGGCAGATGCTTCTCAGGAGACATACAAATGACCAACAGGCATACAAAAAAGAAATGTTCAACATCATTAATCATCAGAGAAATGTAAATTAAAACTACCACGAGATACTACCTCATGCCTGTTAGAACAGAGATTATTAAAAAAAAAAAAAAAGACAAAAATTAGCAAGTATTGGCAAGGATAGGAGAAAAGGGAATCCTTGCACATTGTTGATGGAAATGTAAGTTAGTACAACTGTTATGGAAAACAGTATGGGTGGTCCTCAGAAAATTAATAAAGCTATCACATGATCCAGTAAGCCCACTGCTGGCTATTTCTCCAAAGGAAGTTAAGCCATTATGTCAAAAAGATAAATGTCTGTACTCCTGTGTTCATTCAGCCTTAGTCATAATTGCCAAGACATGGACTCAACCTCAATCTATCAGCAGATAATGAAAATGTGATATATATAAACAATGAGGTACTGTTCAGTCTTAGAACAAGAAAGAAATTCTGTCATCTACAAAAAATAGATGAACTTGAAGGGCATTGTGTTAGGTGATAGAATCCAGGCACAAAAAGACACATACTGAATGATCTCAGATGTGAAGTGTAAAAACATCAAACTTGTAAGAACCAAGAATAAAATGGTTACCAGGGACTGGAAGATGTGGGTTTGGGGAGATGTTAGTCAAAGGACACAATGTTTTAGTTAGGAGGAATAAATTCAAGAGATCTATTATAGTTGTTGTAATTATGGTTAGTAACAATATATTATATATTTGGAACTTGCTAAAAGACCAAATTTTAAGTGGTCTCACCTCAAAAAAAAAGGTATGTGAGGTAATACATTTTAAGTGGCTTGATTTAACCCTTCCACAATTGATATATCAAGGTATCATGTCATATACCATATATATATAATTTTAACATTTCAATTAAAAAATTTAAAAAGAGGGCTGGGGACATAGCTCAGTTGGTAGAATGCTTGCCTTGCATGCAAGGCCCTGGGTTCAGTTCCCAGCACCAGAAAAAAGAATTAAATTTAAAAATGCTCCCATGGAAGAAAGACCTCCTCCAACTATGCTCCTGACCCAATTTTTCCCTCATATACTTTGTTAGGCTGTAAGATTGGTTACAAGATTTCAATATCATATAGGTTCATTTCCCTCTCCTTTCTTCCTTTGTGATTGAGATATATATGTTATGTTTTATATATAGCATATATGTTATGTGTAACATATATGCACATATCATATATGTGTATGCATGTGTAATACCTATATACATTATAAATCCTATGAAAATGTTATGATTTCCCACCCGTACCTGTGTGTATTTGGTATGAATCTACCTGCTTCTGTTCATTCTTCAGTACCTTCATGTATTATGAGCAGATTTTATAGTTATGTGTTCTTACTCCATTATCAGAATCTATGTACTTAAAAAATATTATTTCTATTACATGTTTTGTTTTGTTTTTACAAAACTGAGGATGGTATGAGCTGGTGAGTTTTATTAGAAAACACATGTTCCCCAATCAAATATCATGTAGTTTTAGCATAACCTTTTGTTGATAGTTGTCTGGTAATGTGGTTTCAAACAAACTTTATATCATTCTTCTATCATGAAATTATACCATATAATTTTCTAAAACACCAGATAATAATAGTGAGGTTGGGAAATTATAAAAATGGAATATACTCATGGAATCGCCCTAGGAATGATCTTGCTGATAGATTTAAATAAATTTCCAATCAAAAGATTTATTTTCTAAGACATTCTTTCCTCAGGTCTTCTGGACTTCTTATGTAAATGGAAAAATAATTTAATTTGATTTTGTTAACTATCCATGATATAATTGTTTCTGGGTCTCTTCTATCAGCAAAATTGTTTTAGAAACAAACCCAAAATTGACTTTGTTTTAAAAATTGTATTTCTACCTTAGTGGTTTATTGGAATTTAGATGTCAGAAAAAGAATATTTATTGCAGTGCCATAGAAGCAACAATGCATATTCAATCTGATAGCTTTATGTTTTTTCTTTGTTCAGCAGCATTAATACGATGTGGTAAGATAACTTTTCTTTTTTTATAGCAATGTTCTATAAAAATCCACTCAAACGTAGATGCATTTCAATGAAAGGTCTGAAGCCTTTGTGTTTTGAAGCCCTGGTTGATAAGATTTACATCAAAACTTTAGCTGGGTGTGTAGTGGCACAGGCCTGTAATCCCAGTGACTCAGGAGGCTGAAACAAGAAGATCCAAAGCTTGAGGCATTTTAACATTTTAACAAGGCCCTAAGCAACTTAGGGAGAACCTATCTCAAAATTAAAAGGGCTGAGGATTTGGCTCAGTGGTTAAATGCTCCTGGATTAATTCAATCTATAGTACAACAAAACAAACAAACTAAAAAACAACCTCAACACCACAAAGATGATTGAAATGTAAGGTCTGAAGTGAAAGTTTGCAAGGCATTTCTCCTTTGATTTACATGAAGGAGTCTCTCTAAATGCATAGAAATGAGGATAAACATACATAAAAGGGTTTCTTTTCTCAGATCTCTGAGTGTTAGGGGCTGGTGTGATCTTTCTCTGGAAAAGTTTCTGTTTTAGGATAAGAGTGCCCTGAAGCGACTCAGGATCCATCTGGGCAAATAAAGTTAACTGAAATTTCTGTCTTTGAGGGAAAACTATCTTTAGAAAATATTTTCCCTGGTATGCACATTCCTAGTATTATATATGGAATATGAGGCAGCACATCTGTTTAGTTACCAATTGAATCAATTATTCATTGAGTCAATAACTATTTGAATAACTTTCATGTACCAAGGTATCAGGTATCGTGCTAGTGGGAAAAAATTGTGAAATTATTGTCCCTTCTCTTAAAAAAAAAAAAAAATCAGAGTCTAATGAAAGCAAGATGGGATGGCAGGAAGATAACACAGAGAATTTGACCCTATGCTAAGCATTCTTACATATATTTATTTGCCATTAATCATCTGAAACCCCCTATAGACCTGGGAGGAAGCTGTGGTATTGATGGGGCTGGGTGAAGTCCTGGGTAAAAGTCAGATTTCAGAATCAGGTGGCCTGGTTCAAATCATGGATCTTACCTCTTTGTGCCCTAGTTTCCCATCTCTGTAAAATTGGGACGGTGATAACACCTCACAGATCACTGTGGGTTAACGGGAGAGTACAGGAGCAGTACAATGTCCACACATAGTAGGTGATCAGGTAGCTGTTCCTGTTACTATTATCCCAATTTGGGAAGTGAGAAAATGTACATGGCACAGTGAATAAGAAACAGGAGCACAAATTCCAATCTAGATCTACCTAAAAGACTCTTAGAAATTCTCATGAAATCATTCTGTCTCCTTCTCCAAAATAAAGCAATTCTTTTCAGGTGTCACATGTGGAAAATAAATCCACATCTCTCTATGGAAACCAGAAGGCCAAAGAATAGAAGATAAACCTCAGTCATGGCACCTTTGGTAGCTTAGTTCTCTGTATACACTCTCTTGGTTAATGTGACTCTGTTAAGTCAATGATGGGCTTGCTGCCTTTGATATTATAGATACTGAGGGGTATCAAGATGTGGGAGGCACCAGTTTCATCAACTTTCTGTGATCCCCAGGAAGGAATGTGTGCTTTTTGAGCTAATTTATTAGTTGGTAAAGTGCATCATAATTTTACCCTTTGGGGTAAAAAATACTCTATTTGGAGGATTTGCATTATTTGGGGGATTTATTCTTTTTGGATTGGGAGGAGGAACTGAAGAATATAGTACTGATCCTGCCTGTAAATGCTGTTTTTTTCACCAGTCGATATGCAATGGAGATAAAACTCCTCCTCCGCCCACCCAGAAAGGAGACACCATTTCCTGCTTCTGTGGTCGCCAGAATGTCTGCGAGGCGTCCTTCTGTGACTGGTGTGGAGCCACAGTGGGTATTTTTAAAACTGACCTTCTTCAGGCTGAGCATCCCTCCACCAACCTAGAGAGAGCCTCTTCTCTCACAGCTTCACTTCTTTTTTTAAAATATTTTTTTAGTTACTGATGGACCTTTATTGTATTCATTTATTTTTATGTGGTGCTGAGAATTGAACCCAGTACCTCACACATGTGAGGCAAGCGTTCTACCACTGAGCCACAACCCCAGCCCAATCACTTCTTCTTTATAGCAAACTTTATATCATTCTCCCATCATGAAATTATACCATATAAATTATACATAAAAATTTTAAAGATAGAAATCAGAGATTCTCTTGTACTGAGAGAGATTTTTAAAAAATTGGAGATACAAATAAGAGATTTTCTTATATTGAGAATTCTGTCTAATTGCCGTTTTGATTTACATTCCTTTGAGGTTAAACCTTTTGCACTCATTTACTGACCATTGACTGCTCTTTGATGAATTGTTTGTCTACCTCTTAAACAAGACATTCAAAATTATTTATGTATTTATTTAATTAAATATTGCATGTAAATAATAAAAAAGGTTGGAGTGAAGAGTTAGCTCCCTTCATATCTCAGTCTGCAGTTTCTCTCCCTACAGAATTGCTGTTATCCAGTTTCTGAGGAGTTCTTTTAGCTAGTCAGTGCACATATAACTGGTGCTTACTAAGAACACTGATCTATTCCTTTCACTTAGCAATGTATCTTGTTGGCACCTCATCATTCTTTCCAATAGCTTCATAATATTCCATTGTCTGTACATACTGTCATATATTTAGGCCATCCCCTATTGCTGGACATTTAGGTCGTTTCCAGTTATATCTTCTAAAATCATAGTGATGCAGGAGATGGCCTGGAATAGATTTCCTTGAGTACTTGTTCATCTATAGGATAAACTCTAAAAGGTAGATTTGCTAAGTCAGAGGGTATGGGCACATGCTATACTGGTGGCTAGAGGTTGTATGGTATGAGAATAAATTGTAAGTCTAATGTTGTAAAATGTTTTCTATCCCTAGCTTAGAATTCCTGCTACCCACTCTGTTTGCCCTAAATGTGGAGCCAGCAATCACCTGTCTGCCCGATTCTGTGGCTCCTGTGGAATTTATGTGAAGTCCATGGCAAGATTCAGCTGGGACAGCAGCCTAGCAACAGTTGCTGGAGAACTTCACCCTTTTTCTGAGGTAAGGCCTCTGTAGTAAGAACTGGTGAACTTCATCCTGTGAATTAACCCAGGAAAAGAGCCAGTATTAGACCTTTTACATGAACTTGTAAAGAAATGCAATCAACTAGGATTTAAGCACTCAGATGATTTGTTTAAAAATCAAAGATCAAAATATGCATTTGTTCAATGTAGATAAAGGTCTAATAGCATTTGAAAGGCAGTAGGCATAATGCCACAAGGGAGAAATGGATTTCATATACATTGGATAGAATGTACTTCTCTTGAATTTTTGTGGTAGTATTCTGAGAACCTTTCTCTCTACTTTTGTATTATATTTCAGAAAACTTACATCAAGCTTGTAAGATTGTTTTTGCCATTTATAACATCTGGGCTTTTTTGTGTGTGTGTGTGTGTGTGGTGCTAGGGATTGAACCCAGGGCCTTGTGCATGCAGGGCAAGCACTCTGTCAACTGAGCTGTATCTCCAGCCCCGCTGGGCATGTTTTGACAAAAATCTCATATGGTTATTTCCAGAAGCAATTAAGGTCTAATAACTGGTTCTTGTTAGCCTTTATGAATTTCTCTAAGCTAGGTGAATACTTTCCAGGTTTCTTCTCATCTCTTTATTTTAAAAAAAACTGATAATTTTTAGAGAAAATGCACATGCACTCAGCACTTTGAATATAGTTTTAGGGAGTTCATCACCTTTGTAAGCCAGATTGAAAGATGAAAAGATCCTGGGACATCCCCCAGCCCATTTGACACCTTTGTGTAAATGAAACAAAGATGTTCTTTTCTAAAGGCTCTTGACTACCATTAGGCATTTTCTACTTGCCCTCTACCAGAAAAATTATTGTAATAAATATACAAATGTATGTCATCCACCAGTGAATGGTAACCTTTCTGATGCAATGACATTGTGCAGTGTACAACCTGTACAACACTGTCAGGTTCCTAAATAGGAGAGTGCATCAGAGAAAGTGTTTGTGCCCGGTAGTTGAGTGTGTCGAGATGAGTATTGAAGTCTATGTTCCATTGATTTGTAGAGCTAAGAGTATAGATATTTTTCATGCCCTTAGCAAGACAGGAAACATTCTTTAATTTCCTGAATCTGAGACAATAAATGGTCAAGGAGATTGAGTGGTTTCATGGACCAGGCTAGGAACTTCTAGAAAGACAGAAACAAGTACAATATGACAAGGGCTAGTAAAAACCCCTTAGTTCAAAAAAAGAGATACTTTTCATTTGGATGAGAATATTTTCTATAAGTAAAATGGAGATATGGATTTGATTAAATTATATTCTAATTTATATATATATATATATATATATATATATATTTTTTTTTTTTTTTTTTTTGCCTTGCTCATAGCACCGATCTGCCTGGCAGCCCCTAAATGTTCCTTTGCCCAGATCTGACACTGGGGCAAAGAAGGAGATGGGCACACAGACGGTTGGCCTGTTCTACCCTTCTGGCAGGCTGCTAGCAAAGAAGGAGCTGGAAATGGTTTCTCAACAGCAGAGACAAGAGAAGAGGAGCGACCACAAGCCTCCCCTCACAGCCATCAGCCCAGGAAGGGGTGAGGGGAAGCATGCTTTCTTCTGGTCAGCAGGAAACGCATTCTTTCTCTGAAAGAGTGTTTCCTCTTTTTTTTCCCCCTCCCTTTTAGTTTATTTTCATGTATAAAAAGTAAGTTTCTTCATTCTTCTTTTTTCAAGTAATTTTTTTTGTATGAATAATATCTCTTTCTTAAACTTTGAGTACTCTTCTATTTGTAACTCATAGCCCTGTCACCCAGTTCATCACTCACATGGTACATGTAGATTCCTTCTATTGTGTTCTGTTTGTCTGCATTGTTATTATTATCTGCCATTATCTCTTTATTTATTATGGTAAAATTTACATAATATAAAATTCACCATTTAACCATTTTAAAGTGTATGATTCAATACACAGAAGCTTATAACCAATATCATTATCTATTTCCAGAAAATTTTTATCACTCCAAAAGTAAACCCTATATTCTTTAAGTAGACACTCCCCTCATCCACTCTCCCAAGTGCCCACCAGCCATTAATCTTCTCTTTATGGATTTGTCTATTCTGGACATTTCATATAAATAGAAGCATAAATATATGGTCTCTTGTGTCTGGATTTTTTACTTACTGTAATATTTTCACAGTTCTTTTGTGTTTTGTAGCATGTTTCAGTACTCTATTTATTGTTATGACTGAATAATACTTTATCATATGGATATGACATTTTGTTTATCCATTCATTGGTTGATGGATATTTGAGTTGTTTTCACCTTTGGGCTCTTAGGACTAATGCTGCTGTGAACATTTGTTTTTCTGTGGATACAATTGTTGGGTCACATGGTAACATTATGTTGAACTTATATAGGAACTTTATAGGACAATTTTCCATCATGGCTACATGATTTTATATTCTGACCAACAGTGTGTTAAGGTTCTGTTTTTCTTTACATCTTTGTCAACACTTGTTATTATCTAACTTTTTCATTATAACCATTCTAGTGGGTAGAAAGTGATACATCATTATAATTTTTTAAAAATGGACAGCATGCCTTTATTTGTTTATTTATTTTTTAATGTGGTGCTAAGAATCGAACCCAGTGCCTCACAATGCTAGGCAATCATTCTGCCACTGAGCCCCAGCCCCATCATTATAGTTTTAATTAACATTTCCTTGAACTCAGTCTTTATTTTCCTTTCCTTTCCTTCCTTCCTTCCTTTCCATGTGTTTGTATGTGTGTGTACTGGGGATTTAACCTAGGGACACTCTTTCACTCCATTATACCCCCAACTCCTTTTTATTTTTTATTTTGAGACAAAGTCTCACTAAATTGCCAGAACTCCCATTGAACCTGTGATCATTCTGCCTCAGTCTCCTAAGACCCTGGGAATTACAGCATGTGCCCCCATACCCTACTCTGGATTTTGTTTTTATTGCACTGGTCTACATGTCTATCCTTATGCCAGAACCACATTATTGATTACTGTTTCTCTGTAATTACTTTTTTTTTCCCTTTTTTCTTCTTTCTGCACTGTGGATTGAACCCGGGGCCTTGAATCTGCTAGGCAAGCGTTCTATCTCTGAGCTACATCTCCAGCCCTTTGTTTTAAGTTTTGACATGAGGAAGTATGAGTCCTCTGACTTTGTTCTTCTTTTCAAGATTGTTTTGGCTAATCTGAGTCTTTGAGTCTTTGAGGAATAAACTTGCCATTTCTACAAAGAACCCAGCTGGAGTCCTGATAGGAATTGGTATCTTATATTGGTATCTTTTTAATTTTGTCTTCATCTCTCTCTCTTTTTTTTTTTTTTTTTTGTAATGGAGTTGGAACTCAGGAGCGCTTAACCACTAAGTCACATCCCCAGCCCTTTTCATATTTTATTTTGAGACAGGGTCTCACTAAGTTACTTGGGCCTTTCTAAGTTGCTGAGGCTGGCCTTGAACTTGAGATCCTCCTGCCTTAGCCTCCCAAGCAACTGGGATTTCAGGTGAACACAACCACATACAGTTAATATTAAGTCTTTTGATTCATGAACATGGGAGGTCTTTCCACTATTTAGATCTTCTTTAATTTCCTTCAGTTTTGTTTTGTAAGTTTCAGGGTATAACTATCATACCTCATTCGTTAACTCTTTATTCTTAAGTATTTGTTGTTTTTGATGCTATTGTAAATGGAATTGTTTTCCTAATTTCATTTTTGGATTGTTTATTGCATATGTAGAAATATAATTGATTTTTAAATTTTAATTTTATTTATATCTTCTAACCTTGCTAAACTTTTTCTTATTATTTATAATAGTTTTCAGTGAGCTCCCTAGGATTTTCTATGTCCAACATCATAGCATCTGCAGGTTGAGAGAGTTTTACTTCTTACTCTCCTAACTGGATGTTTTTTATCTAATTTTCTTACCTAATTGCCCTAGTTAAAACCTCCAGTACACTATTGGATAGAAGTGGTGAGAACATAAATCCTTGTCTTATTCTTGATTTTAGGAGAAAGTGCACAGTTTTTAACTATTAAGCATGATGTTCACTATGAATTTTTCAGAGATGCCTTTTATCAGATTGAGAATTTCCCTTCCCATATCTAGATTTTTGTGTATGTGTATTTATCTGGAAAGAGTATTAGGGTTTGTCAAATGCTTTCTCTCCATCTACTTAGATTATCATAACGTTGTTTTTTATTCCATTGATACAGTGTTTTACACTGATTTAATTTCAGGTTTTACACCAAATCTTTTGTTTCTGGGATAAATCTCACTCGGTTATGATATAATTCTTTTTATATGTTTTTACATTCAGTTTGTGCTGTGTTTTTTTTAAGAGAGAAGAGAGAGAGAGAGAGAATTTTTTAATATTTATTTTTCAGTTTTCGGTGGATATAACATCTTTATTTTATTTTTATGTGGTGCTGAGGTGCCGCAGTCTGGCTGGGCACAATCAGGAGCCACTTGTCAAAAGAAACTAACTTTATTTTTAGAACCACACACGCCAAACAAAACAGCCTCTCAGGAAAAACCCTCAGAGCCTCAACTGCCACCACCGGCTTTCCACAAGCCTCTCTCTCACCCACAAGCTTCTCTCCACCTCCCACAATCCTCCTGCTCTTGAGGCCGATTGGCTGGGTCATGTGGGCGGAGCCAAAAAAGTCCCCCAATGAGCAGCTCCGTGGTCTGAAAGGGCAGGGAAACAGCCCAATGAGCATCACCGCAGAGGAGCCAATCAGCTAGATGTTGCTGGGGCCGCTGTGAGCCAATCATCAGCCGGCAGCTGGAAGTTTGCTGGCAGCTGGAAGTTTGCTGGGGCCCCTTCGGCTGTGGCTCTCAACACTGAGGATCGAACCCAGCGCCTCGCGCATGTCAGGCGGGCGCATTACCGCTTGAGCCACATCCCCAGCCCTGTGCTGTGGTTTTAATGTGTCCTCTCCAAAATTCCCATTGTGGTAGTATTAAAAAGTATGGCCTTTTGGATTAAGTCATGAGGGTTCCACCCCAGGGATGCCTCCTAAAAGGGCTGGCAGGCACTACCCCAGGCCCTTTTTGCCCCTCCATCCTTTGCCATGTGAGAACTCAGCATTTCTCCCCTCTGAAGGATACAGGGCAACGAGTCACCTATGTAGGAAATACAGACCAACATCATCAAATACCAGACCTGCTGATTCCTTGATAATGGACTTCCAGCCTCCAAAACTATGAGAAGTCCTTTCTATAGTTTGTTGATCACCCAGTCTTAGGTATTTTATTATAGCAGCACAAATGGCCTAAGATAGTTTTGCTGAATACGTTGTTGAAGACATTTGTGTCTATATTTATAGGAGATATTAAACTGTGATTTTCTTTCCTTATGATGTCTTCATCTGATTTTGGCATAAGACTAATATTGACCTTATGGAATGAGTTAGAAAGTTTCTCCTCTTTTTTGTTTTTGGTAGTGTTTATGAAGAATGGATATTAACTATTCTTTATTTTTTATAGGTCTATTCAGATTTCTGTTTCTTACTGAGTCAATGTTGGCAGTTTGTGTGTATTTCTAATATTTATCTATTTCATCTGATTTATCTTATTTAGTGGCATATAGATTCCTTCAGAATCATTTTTTTCCAGTTCTGGGGATTGAACCCAGGGCCTCCCACAAGCTTGGCAAGTACTGTACCATTGTACTATATCTTTATCCGCATAATATTTTTCATTTCAGTACAGTTGGTTGTAATGTCCCCTATTTCATTTCTGATTTTAGCAATTTGAGACATCTCTATTTTTCTTGGTCAGTCTAATAAAATTTTTTGGTCTTTTCAAGAATAAATTTTTGAAACTTCGCTGATTGTCTGTTTTTCTATTATGTATTTCACTAAATGACACTCATACATGTTAGGTAAGTGCTCTATCACAGATCCACTTTTCCAGCCCTTTTTAAAAATTTTATTTTGATACAGGGTCTCAGTAAGTTGCCCAGTCTGGCCTCAAACTTATGATCCTTCTGCCTCAGTCTCCCAAGTAGCTAGGATTACAGGTGTGTGTCACCATGCCCAGCTTCTAATTTCGTCTTGTAGTATAAGAAGATGTTTTGGATGATGTCTATCTTTTAAATCAGTTGAGACTCCATATGGTCTAATATAGGGTCTATCCCAAACAATGTTTTATATGTACTTTTTTCTTTGAGTAGTTTGAATATGTAATCCCATTATCTTCTGGCCTTCATGATTTATGTTTAAAAATCTTCTGTTATTCTACTAAGGGCCCTTGTGTATGATAAGTCTCTTCCTTTTCTGTTTTCAAGATCCTCTTTGACTTTGTTTTTCAACAGTTTGATAATGTTTCTTTCTGTGAATCTTTCTGGGTTTATCTCACTTGGAGTTTTTGAGTATCTCAAATGTCTGAGTTCTTGTCCATCAAATTTGGGAAGTGTTTGGCCATCATATCCTCAAATTTTTTTTTCTGCCTCTTACTCTGCCTCCACTCTTGGGATTCTCATGGTGCATATGTTGGTGTGCTTGATAGTTTTTCATAGGTCTCAGGTTCTGTTCATTTTTCTTAATGCTTTTTTTTCTGTGTACTTTCTATTGTTTAATATCAATTGATCTATTTTTTTCCATTTGTTAATTATTACTTATGCCAGTTCAAAGCTATTGTTGAACCTCATTGGTAAATTTTTTAATTTCAGTTATTGTACTTTTCTGCTACCCAATTTCCATTAGGTTCTTTTATATAATTTCTATCTGCTTATTTATATTCTTGATTTCATGAAGCATTACTATCACACTGTAACTAATTTTACCCCAAACCAGTTCTTTTTTCCATCTGAGAATTGTGGAACCAGTAACAATAAGTCCAAGTGCTGACTAAAAGGGAAGGAAGGTTTACTCTTGTCCAAATATAGGAGAAGCAGGGAGAAAGCCTCACAGATCAGCTTCTCCACTCATTGGGAGTAAGAAGCTATAGACACAGGGTAAAAGAAATGAGGGGGAGGGATAGCCTAATCAAAGGGAGGATATCCATGTCTTTTCTGGGAATAGGTAGAAAATTTCCAGGAATTCAGGCATCATGTCTTTTTTACTCCTTTTGTGGTTCTTTATGGTAGTTATCATGACAATTATCAAGAATTATGGTGCTGGGGAGTGTCAGTTAGCATGAAGATGATATTATAATTTAGATGGAGGGTGTCTGGTGGTCACTCTGGCAGCCATCTTAGATTCAACCAGTTTTAGCCAGCTCACCTGAAGAACTGATGTCCTCAGAGATAAACTAGATTAGCATTGGGTGGAACTTCAGCTAGGTCACCTAGGCAGTACAGGAATTAGGACAGAATAACAGTACCTTCTCTTTCTTCTTTAAGCATGGTTTCTTTTTGTTCTTTGAACACATTTGTATTAGCTACTCTGAAGTTTTTGTAAAATCTCCAACATCTGGATGCTATCACAGGTAGTTTCTGTTGCCTGCTTTTTTCCTTGTGTTTGGTTTGGATTTTCCTTTTTCTTTTCATGTCTTGTAATTTTTTATTGGAACTGGACATTTTAGATAACATACGATATCAACTCACTCAATTAACCTCCCTTCCAGCCTTGTTTGTTTAATGACTAACTAGATCATTTTAGTGAACTTTATTTCACACCTATTGTATGAAGCCTCTGATGTTGGTCTTTGGAGAGGGTAAGCCCTGGCATGTACCCTTTCATTCTAGGATCATGGTGGTTTTGGCAAGGCCCTCCCTGACTATCTTTTTTCCCTGACCACACCCAGCCCATTAAGCTTCACTTACTGCTGTCTTGTTGCTGTATTGTTTATAGCTATGCTCTAGGGCATAAATTGCTCCATAGACTGATCTAATCCAATTTGGGATCCTTTTCAGGGAGTTTCCTTGGTCAGTATTTAAATATTTTTGTGTGGCCTTAGAAGATTCTTCTTAGCTGTTTATATCCCTGGTTCTAATGAATCTACCAGTCTTCTCGTAATTGCTTTTTTGCCATCCTCTCTCTGCCTTTTTTCTTTCTTTCTTTCTTTTTTTTTTTTTTTTTTTTTTGAGATGGGTCTTGTGAAGTTGGCCTTGAACTTATGACCCTCATTTTTTTGAGAGCAGCCTTAGGATTGAAGTTTCCTACACTTTGTTGCAAATGAAGTTATTTCCTTGCTTTAGAGGCTAAGCACTCAGCAGAGAGAGTGTACCAATGTAGCTTTTGGTCAGGGGACTTACCTCTACCAAAATAGGACCTGTGATGAATGGGCCAGGAATAGGTTATCTGGACCTGTGTTCTCAGTGTTTTAGATTCAAGGCAGAGCTCCCAGCCCGTGGGAGGTGAGTGGGCAGAAAGAGGGAGCCCCCATCTCTTGACTAGACTTGCCCAGAACTTAGCCTATGCAATAGGCTGTTGGGGCAGGATGAGAAATACTGAAATCCTGTCCTTCCTGAGAAGATACTGCAGGTTTGACTTGAAGCTCAGAGGGTAGGGAGCCCTGTATTCCTGGATATACGTATCTGAAGTGGAATTTCCATCAATCTCATTTAAGAGGAGGTGAAAGGATATGGATCATGGTTCCAACACCACAAAAGTAGTGTTCTGAGTTTTAGTACATTTTCTTTGTTAACTGCTACTTCATTTGCTGTCTGCCGTTAGAACTATTTCCAGAGAATTTAAGTTATGATTGTTCTTTTGTTTTGTTTAATAGTTTGGGAAGTGAGAGCACTGAACTCAGTGAAGCTGCCATGCCAGAAACTGATCATGCCCAGCTCTCCTCTTGCTCTCTGAATCTTCCTGATTCAGTCTGATTAAGCTCTCATGGACTTGAACTTGGTATCAGTCCTGTGGGAGAGTGTCAGTGGAGATAGCCAGAATGATCACTTACATCCTCTTATCCTCCAGAGGAAGAAGCTATCTCCCTCCCTCTAGAATCTGGATTGGCTTATGACTTCCCCTGGCCAATAGGAAGTGATAGAAGAGAAACCATGACAGTTCTGGGCCTTAAGTATAAAACTTTCTACTTGTTCTCCAGGAAGCCAGCACCAAATGAGGCAAGATGATGCCACATGGAGAACAGAGGCATCCCAGTTGTGTTAATCAGCCCTGTGACCAAAATACCCACCTAGAAAAAATTAGAGGATGAAAAGTTTATTTTGGGTTAATGGTTTTCAGAGATTCATTCTATGATTGACTAACTCTATTGCTCTGGGCCTGAGGTGAGGCAGAATATCATGGCAGAAGGGCACGGCAGAGAAAATCTCAGCTCATGGCAGCTAAGAAGCAGGGGGAGTGGAGAGTGAGAGAGAGGAGTCACAGACAAGATACAGTGCCCAAGGGCACACCCCAGTGACCTGCTCCCTTCAGCCACCCCTCCCTGCATAATTTACCACTGAGTAGTCCATTCAAATTATTAATGCATCAAATGGATTAATTCACTCATAGGTTAAAGCTCTCATAATCCAATCTTTTCACCTCTGAATGTTGCTACATTGCCTAATGTAAGAGCTCTTTGAGGATATTTTTAGATCTAAACTGTAACACCCACCAACAACCCAGAACAAAGATGCAGACATTTGAGTAAGCATAGACAGCAAACATGAGGCAAGACCCAGCCATCCCAGATGCCCCCTAGTCATTCTGCCATCTTAGCTGAGGTCTCATCCCAAACACCTGCTCCTTGCCCTGGGAAATAGGCCTGTAGAGAAAGTGCCACTGCATCCTCACCTGAACATGAGAAACCAGACAGCCTGGCTTATGTGAAATCTCCCAAATTTGAAGTGGTGACACCTAATTCGAATTTGTTTTAACCCTATGCCAACTAGAAAGGAACACAGGAAACTTTTAGGAATGATGCAAATGTTCTATATATGACTGGGTTGTATACATTTGCCAAACCCAAACTATACATTTTAAAAATATTTATGTTATATGTGGGATAGAAAAAAAGAAAAAGAAAAGATGCCTGTGTGACATTCAAGTATGTTCTTTTAAGATTGTATAATATTCAGCTGGGCATGGTAGTTCATGCCTGTAATCCCAGCGATTCAGGAAGCTGAAGCAGGAGGATCACAAGTTTGAAGCTAGCCTCAGCAACTTGGTGAGACCCTAAGCAACTTATAGAATTCCTGTCCCAAAATAAAAAATAAAAGAGCCTTAAGATGTAGTTCAGTTGTAAAGTGCCCCTGGATTCAATCCCTACTATGCACCCCCCTGAAAAAAAGATTCTGTAATATTCAGTGATTAATAATGTATAATAGGAAGCGAGGGAGGGATGGAACTTATTCCAGTGCATAGCTGAGGTTCAGTAAGAACAAACCATCAGGGGCTGGGATGTGGCTCAAACGGTAGCGTGCTTGCCTGGCATGCGTGCGGCCCAGGTTCGATGCTCAGCACCACATACAAAAAAAAAACAAAGATGTTGTGTCCGCCGAAAACTAAAAAATAAATATTAGAAAAAAATTAAAAAAAAAAAAGAACAAACCATCACTAAATTTGGCAAAGGAAAATAACCTCATTGAGAATATACAGTCTATATTATCATATCTCTTTCATAGAAGAAGTATCCATATGGCTGGCTTTCTCTTCTTTTTTAGGATACTGGAGAAGACAATTGGATCACATCTCTGCTCACCTCAGGTCTTATGCTCAGAACAACCCTGAATTCCGGGCCTTGATTGCAGAACCCAGGATGGGAAAGGTGGGTGAGATGAAATTTCCATTCTAGAACATCTATGGGATCAGGCTTCCTTCAGGACTTTGCCTAAAATTGCACCTTGCTTAACTCATTTTCCCTTCCTGCTTTACCTTCCACACCTTCTTACTGTTCTCCCCTATGAGCTCTGCCCTAATAAATCATGTGCACATGAAAATTGTCTCAGGGTTTCTTTCTGGGACACCTGGCTTAAGATAGTAAGACTCTGAATATCTCATGCTTAGATGACACAGGCTGTGGCAGGAATTCTAATGCCTAGAGCTAAAAGACCCAGAAAAGTTAAGTCCAGCCAGATTGTGCATGTAAATTACATACTCTTCACAATTCACAATAGCTAAACTGTTTAGCCAACCTAGATGTCCTTCAGTAGATGAATGGATTAAAAAAATGTGGCATATATACACAATGGAATTTTACTCAGCATTAAAAAAGAACAGAATCATGGCTTTTGCAGGTAAATGGATGGTGTTGGAGAAGATTATGCTAAGTGAAATCAGCCAATCCCAAAAAAACAAATGCCAACTGTTTTCTCTGATATAAGGAGGGTGACTCATAGTGGGGTAGGGAGGGAGAGCATAGGAGGAATAGATGAATTCAAGATAGGGAAGAGGGGTGGGAGAGAAAGGGAGGGGGTAGGGGAGTAACAAGGATGGTGGAATGTGATGGTCATCATTATACAAAGTACATGTATGAAGACTTGAATTGAATGTCAATATACTTTATATACAAACAGAAATACAAAAAGCATAGTATTTATGTGTATTAAGAATTGTAATGCAAAAGAAAAAAAATAATGTCACCTTAGATTAGATAGAGGGAAGTGAAAGGAGGGGAAGGCAGGGAATGTGGGGATAAGAAAAATAGTAGAATGAAACAGACATTATTACTGTATGTATGTATGTGACTGTATGACCAGTATGATTCTATAATATGTATACTCAGAAAAATGAGAAATTATATCCCATCTATGTATGATACACCAAAGTATATAAGTGCATTCTACTGTCATGTATAATTAATTAAAACAAATTTTAAAAAAAGAAAAAGCAAAAAAAAATTACATGCTATTGATATATAACAACAATAGTATCATAAGAGCAAGAGTTAACCATTTAATAGTACACTTCATATCATCATTGTGTTCCTCAGTCCTTGTAACAAACCTGCGAGAGAGGAATCTTACTTTTGAGGTAATTATTTTTAAATGACCACAGATTCTTTGACAGTCTTCCCTTCAAGCACACATCCTTTGAATCTGAGTGAGCTGGTGACTGTTAAACTAATAGACTAGGGTAGAAGTGACTCTAAGGCTTGGTATTGTAAGAGCATGTGGCTTCCTTTTGTTTGTCACATCCACCTCTTAGACTCCTTCAGTGTGAGAAACCCATGCCACATAGAGTAGCCACATGTAAGTGGGCCAATCTACTGCCCCAGAGTCCTCAAGTCATCCCAGGTCAGGAGCCAAGCCAATAAGTGACCAGACTAGATGATCATTTATATCTTCCTAGCTGAGGCCTCAGGTGGAACAGAGAGAAGCTATCTCTGCTATGCCCTGTCTGAATCCATGAATATTATAAAGTGGTGGTTGTTGAATAGCACTAAATTTGGGGTAGCTTATAATACTGTGATGAGTACCCAGGACAAGCCTTATGTGACACCTAGGATAACTAAGGCTCAGAGTGTTTTGATGATTATCCAAGACCGCCCTGCTGGGTCTCAGGGCATTAAGGTTTGAAATAGGTGTGTCAGATCCCATGCCTCATCCCTTTCTTTGGCATTAGATCACTGTTATAGAGAAAATTCAGTGCAAGGACATTTCCTCTATTAATCACAAAATTAGAAAGAGTCTTTTCAAATCAGACTGTCTACTTCTTTGCTAGCAAATATGCCAACATTGAAACTGTCTCACTTTCAAGTGTTGCTCAATTTCCTTTGATAAGCTGTTTTGGTAGTTTATAACTTCTTTAGCCTAACTAATCCAGAGGTCTGCAAACTTGTCCCAGGGAACAGATGTAGCCTGCTATACAATTTTACAAATGAAATTTTATTGGATAAGAGTTATATCCATTCATTTACATATTATCTAGCTACTTTGTACTGAAACAGCAATGTTAAGTATTCATGACAGAGAATGTATGACCCACAAGAAGACCTTGAAATATTTAGTATTTGACCCTTTCTAAAAACTTCTGATGCCCCATTTGAATCTAAATTTGTTCCATTGCTTATAAAGAAAGCTGCTGAATTGTGATACTTGTCCATTACTTGTCAAGGCCTGCTTCCCCTCTGGCCACCTGTTAAACTTTTCCAAGGTGATGATATCCACAGTATGGATATCCAAAATATGTCTCTTGAAGAAAATATAAATTTGGATCTTGCTTTCTTTTTTAAAAATTATTCTACAGTATAATACATTTTTACATATTGTCACAAATTTAGCACAAATTCTCATTCCTCTAGCTGTACGTGGTGCAGAGTCACTCCAGTAGGGTAATTATACATGTATATAAGGTAATAATGTCTGTCTTACTCTACCGTGCTTCCCATCCCCACAGCCCCACTCCTCCCCTGACTCCCCTCTACACAAACCAAAGTTCCTTTATTCTTCCATATTCCCCTACCCCACTGTGGATCAGCATCCACTTATCAGAGAAAACATTTGGCTTTTGGTTTTGGGGGGATTGGTTTATTTCACTTAGCATAATATTCTCTAGCTCCATCCATTGTGTATAAGTACCATGTTTTCTTTTGGATCTTGCTTTCTTATGCATTCTAAAAGTCTCTGCCCTTTGATTGAAGTATTTAGTTTATTTATTATTAATGGAGCTATATATGTGGCTGCATTGCAAGTTTGAGGTCAAACCAGGCAACATAGTAAAATCCTGCCTCAAAATAAAATAAAAAGGGCAGGAGATTGGGGCTGGGGTTATGGCTCAGCGGTTGAGCACTCACCTAGCATGTGTGAGGTCCTGGGATCAATCCTCAGCACCATATAAAGATTAGCAAATCAATAAAATAAAGGTATTGTGTCTAACTACAACTGAAAAATATTTTTAAAAAAAGGGCTGGAGATATTGCTCACTGGTAAAATGCCCCTGCATTCAATATCCACGCTACCACAAATAAATAATCAATTAAAATAAAATTCCTTTAAAAGCTTATCTCTGCTACTGTCCATGAAGATGGCTGTGAAGTTAGCATCAGACTGAATTATATTCAAGTCTCAAACAAGGTAAGTAAACCCTCAGAAGTTATTCATTTGAGAATTGACCAATTCTCAACTTAAATTTATGGAAACACTTTTGTGTAATCCATAAAAAGGGAACTTGACTACAGTCAAGCAATTCTGTAGAATTAGTTAAAGAATTGAGTTAAATCTCAGCCAAATTCAGCTGTTAGGTACACAAAGATATATAGTAGTGGGAATTATCACCCACCCATGGTCCTGTAGTTCTCTGACTTATTCTTACTGAATTCTAAAGAAATGTCTGTGATACAACTGATTTAGGGAAAGACTGACACAAATGTTTGCTGATGTGCACTTTGTCCTATTTGCTTTATATAAAACAAACGAACCATTGTAGTCACATCTCCCTTTATCTTGCCTCTTATATAGTGACTGGAGCATTGCCACAGAGCCTGTAAGTATATAACAAGCATTGATTGATATTAGCTGCTTTAGCTTCATTGGACAAGTCAAAATTTTCAAAAGAATGATAAATGGATTGAGAAGATATGTAAAGAAGGCAAGGAATAAAGAGGGGAACTAATATTTATCAGGCCCTGGCTATGTGCCCAATAAGGTGCTAATGATATTAAAATTAGGATAAGATGCTGGTCACAGTGGCACATGCATGTAATGCTGGCAACTTGGGATGCTGAGGTAGAAGGATAACAAGTTCAAGGCCAGTCTCAGCAACTTAGTACAACCCTGACTAAAATTTAAGAAGTAAAAAAAAAAAAAAAAAATTGCTGGGGATGTAGCTCAGTGGTAAAGCACACCTGAGTTCAATCTCCAGTGCTCAAGGGTAAAAATAATAATACAAAACATGGGCCCTGCCTAGATCAGGAGACTGGGTGTATCAAATGGGCTAATGCACATACAAGTGCTTTGAAACCAGGTTAGACACTAAGTGCTTTGTTCTTGGTTGTGCAGTTGTGTGCTAGTCCCCAGAATCAGTCCAGGTGGATACAGTCTGTGTTTATATATATCTCATTTTATAGAAACTGGTTTTACCTAATTTTACTTTCACAATACTCCTTTGAAATAGGTCATAATATTTCCACTTTGTAGGTAAGGAAACTAAGGGCTCAGAGAAGTTAAACAACTTTTTTCTTACAAGGTCGTTAATGCTAACAGAACCAGGAATCAAACAGCAGCCTCCCCATCAGACCACCCTAATTCCATGTCATGAAGGGACTTCAGTTGGGGAAGGACACAATTACTTTTAAATGATATCATGGTGATTGGCAGAAGCCTGTTGGCAGGCTGTTGTAATGGTCCCTGTGTGAGAAAAGGGTCATGGGGTAGTGACAGAGAAGAAGAGGGCCAACTGAGGTAAAATGGACTGCAACTTAGGGAGGTGAGGGAAGAGTCAGGAAGGATGTCCAGGCCTGTAGGCTCAATTGTCTGGACACACAGAGCCATCCATTCCTCATGAGAAGTAGGTTGGTCAGGAAGGTCATTCCTTCTGTTGAGGCCCAGCAGACCTGTCATTCATGGTGCTTAAATTTTTTCATCGCCAGAACCTATACTTCAGCAAGGCAGTGAATTTCAGTGACCAGTTTCTGAACAGTGTCACCGAGGGTGGTAATGGGCTATACAGCAGCAGGACCAGCTTGGGTGAGTATTACTGTTCTGGTACTTTACAACTGACCAGAAATACACTGATTTGACAAGGATGGTAAAGACTTGCATAAAATTTGCCAGCCCGATCACAAATCTTAGTATTATGTTTCAGCCTTTTTTATTTCTCTGGCTCCTTTAAAGTCAAGGCTGAGATTTATGAAATCCTTCGTGGGGCTTGGAGAGGGATTCATTAGTAGGGGTGGGAAGGTAGGTCTTTTTTCAGCTTAAAAACTGAGATCGAATTTCCCTTCTCCCCACCTATCCTCTGGCTCCTGGACTGGGGAGTGACTCTAGCAGTCAGTCCTTCCTGTCAGGTTTAATCAAATGAAAATGTCTACAAAAGCCATATTATGCCTCTGACTTTTAATGGGCATAACTGTAAAACTAGCATACATTACATATATGGAGTGGAGGAGGATCACTTTGTCCTTTGTCATTGTAGTGAGCGATTACAGCCAGAGTATCTTAGATACCAATGAAAAAATCAAGAGGATGAGGAATCTCCAGATCAAAAAATTTCACAAAAAGAAAGAGCACCTTACAGTACGTATACTCCTTGGTCTTTGTGGCTATCTTCTTCAGCCTATCATTCTAATGTTTATTTTGGCATTTTAAAATGGAATACTTTCTCATTTTTTGTTCCTTCTTTTATAACAGCATATTTTTATTTTTCAGAGGGAGAATCCTTTACAAGACTGAATTAGAATTAAAGTTCTCATCAGTTTCCTGAATCATATCTTTTTCCTCTGGAGTCTGTTCTGTTTGCCCATCATTCTCTGTTTTGTATTTGTCTGGACTCAAATATGTGATGCTCCTTGGTTTTCTGGTCATTTGACAAATGAAGAACTAGTTGGATTAGCACTGGTGCCTGGTGTGGGTGCCCAGCATGGGTGTGTGGGTCTGAAGTCCTTGTGTAGATAGGTGGTTATTTTGTGGGATAGGCTTTCCTGCTGGTGTTGTGCAAAGGTCCGGAGAAAGCATGTGGGTCCCAAGCATTGTCAGTGCAGAAGGTCTTTCTTCTGGTGCAAAGGTGTTGGTGGTGTGACATATTCTCCTATGTTTCAGTTCTGCAAGGAGCTGTCTTTCCTCCCTTGTCCTTCCCACCCTCCCCTGAATTTGTCATGGAGGTCTTGGGCTCTGCAATTCTCTCTTCTTGGGCTCTAGTGCTCCCAGGAGATGACTTTGTTGGGCAAATCATGTACTTTCTAGAAAGTGGTTGTCAGGGTTTAACAGAATGCATGAGCTTTCTTTCTCCTTATGTGAGATAGGAGGGAAAGGGCATCTTAGCTACTCATAGTGAGCCCTTTAGTAGTACACTCATGCATTTAACCTGTACAGAATACCTACCCTCCTTTGTGATTAACTTTGAGTTTCTGCAGGATACCCCTGGAGAGAAACACTCAGGCTTCTGGTGTCTTCAGCTGGTTTTTCTTTGCTTTGATTTCTCTGCCAGTCAGATTTCATCTATTTTCAGTCTTAGAGTTCCTCAAAATTACTGGAAAACTAAAATGATAGATTCCCTTTCAGAGTTTCCCACAGCTCATAGTGAGTTTTGCTTTTCAAAAAATATGCATCATTAATAATTCCAAAAGGGTTTTGGAGAAAGGAATGGTGGATGCCCTTGCTCTCTCCCCCACTCTGCCTTTTGGTTGGTCCTCTTTGGCTTCAGCACAGAAAACAGCACTGATTAGCAGCAAGCCCCTGGAGATGGAGATGGACACAATGTGGTGCTTACCCTCCATCTGGTTCCACCAGTTTCTAGAGGCTTCCTCTGTTTTGCACGCCCCCGCCATCCAGCTTGCATCATGATTCCGCCAAAGGCAGGAGCTCTGTTCTTTATCTTTTTTTTCCCCAGCATGTGCTTTGCGTGTAATCAATACCAATAAATTTGGGAAGAAGATGTTAGCATTTTTTTTAATTTTAATTGCTTATGATTCTTTGTGCTCTCCACCTCCTCCAGTTTGAAATATTGTAATGAGTATAAGAGAAGGTATAGAGCCCCATGAACTCAACAATTTGCATCTTTGGAGACTGTACCCTTTCTCTGCATGTGGTCTGAATCTCCCATTGTTATGCTCCTTTACTTTCTCATTTGCATTTATGAGCTAAATGTCAGCAGCACTGATATTTATCCACTAATTCATTCATTACTTTTGAGCCCACCTGTATAAGGCATGGTTCTAGGTGCTGAAAATAAAATGTGAACCCAAGTTATAAAGATCTCAGACCTCATGAAGCAAACATTCTAGAGGATTCTAGTATATTTTTCTAAAAGGAGCCAAATTCATTATAAACAAGAACACCTCCCAGAATCCTCCTGGAGTTTACTGATTAGATTATGGTGGGGCTGGGGATGTGGCTCAAGCGGTAGCGCGCTTGCCTGGCATACCTGCGACCAGGGTTCGATCCTCGGCACCACATACAAACAAAGATGTTGTGTCCACCGAAAACTAAAAAATAAATATTAAAAAAAAATGTTTCAGATTTTATAGCATTTAAAAAAAAAAATAGATTACGGTGCCTTGTTCCAAGATACTAGAGAGATGGGGTGGCCAAGGGACAAGGAAGCGGTAGATACAGCCTGAACCCAACCTCTTCTGAAAAGCTTAGAGGCCCAGGGAACCAGGGAGGAGCAGGTTTTATTTCCATTTCACACACAGGCCAGTTGTGGTTCTGCTTGAAATTTATATATAAATATAAATTTCATAGCACTTTGAAAATAGACAAATTCTTTTTTTAAATATTTTTTTTAGTTGTAGGTAGACTCAATACCTTTATTTACTTATTTATTTTTTAAATGTGGTGCTGAGGACCAGTGCCTCACACGTGCGAGGTAAGCATTCTACCACTGAGCCACAACCCCAGCCCTAAAAAAACAAATTCTTAAAGATTTCTGACAATAAGCCAGATATGGTGATGCACACCTGTAATCCCAGCAGCTTGGGAGGCAGAGGTAGGAGGATCTTGAGTTCAAAGCCAGCCTCAGCAACTTATCGAGGCCCTATGTACCTTGGCCAGTCTCTGTCTTAAAATAAAAAAATAAAAAGGAATAGGTATGTGGCTCAGTGGTTAAGCATCCCTTGAGTTTAATCTCTGGTACCAAAAAAAAAAAAAAAAGCAGATTTCTGACAATAAATGACAGGGATTCGTTTTCTTAACAAGAAGTTGACTATGGATTCACTCATTTCTTAGGCAAGCATGGGTTCTGAACTCTCATATTTAGTCTGACATTGAACACTTTATAAAGCATGCTAAGTAAATTTTAGGTGTTCACCTGGCTGCTTTTTCTAGAAATACACATTAGGGAACTAGCCTGGAATTTCTGGAGTTTTGTGAGGTTTCCCATCACACCCCTACCCTTAAAAATATAAAACAATATTAGTGTAGTGACCTTGCCCAAGACAAGGTTTTGGAGACCAGAAAGATTAACATTAGATGTGTATGTTTGTGCTGTTGGCTTTTGAAGACCATATGTGCACACACACAAACACAGAAATATGCTCACACGTGTACTCTCATGGTCACACACACCCATCCATGTGGCTCAGAATTCAACTGAGAATGAGACACTATGCTTGGTGAGGAAGCATTTGCCTTGAGTGTTAGACCTGGAAATCAACAGTGCAGATATTTTGAGGCAGTGGAAATGACCCATGTTCTATAATCCTGCAGCCTGAAAACAGACTCCTACTGGCGGAAGTTGGCCCGACAGGGGAAGGAAGAATCTCTGTGCTTGAACAGCTGCTGGAGGAAGTGAGTGTGACTAGAACAGGTCTCTCTGTGGATTTCAGCCTGCCCTTCCAACTGCTCCCTTTTAATTAAAAGTTGTTTGAAAATGCAATAATGGCTAGTCAAAATCTTTACATTTATTGTTACCTGTTGCTAATTTTTATAAAACAAACTAACAGATAAGCCCAAGTAACATGCATGAAGCTAGACAGAATCCCTGGTCCATGATGTCATGTAACTTCAGCCTAGGTTTCCTAAAGAAACAAAATGGGGCTGGGGTATAGCTCAGTGATAGAGAGAAGTTACCTAGGACATACAAGGTCCTGGATTCAATCTCCAGACTGCCAAAAAGAAAGAAAAAGAAAAAGAAAGAAGAAACAATGTGGTTAGGGTACCTGCTCCCCTGATGTGAGGGATAGACATTTTAACTCTGGGGGGACTTGGCAGCTGTGTCCATTTATAGGCTGTCTTGATCCTTTCTTTGATCTAAAATTAACATAGTTCCATTATTGCTTTAATAGGACATTTGTTGAACTTGACAGGATGGCAGTTGGACAAGGTGGAGTTCAGGGTTTTGTAATGAGTTTTTTCTTTTCTATGTGCTGCAGGGAGCAGACCCCAACTGCTGTGACAATGATGGTCGACCTGCTATTATCGTAGCTGTTGTGAATAAGCATCATGAAGCCATTCCAGTTCTTGCTCAGAGAGGAGCAGACATTGACCAGCAGTGGGGACCGTAAGTGAAACGTTGAAAGTACAGCTGAGTACTGAGGTGTCAGAGCTCATGGAGCTCTGGTATAGCAGAATTAGTCTACACACATGCTCGTTTCAATTTGAACCACTGAAAGGCCATTTAAATCTCTTTTGGTCTTAATAAAAGGTTTGACAGTTTTCTAAAGATGAGCAAAACAAAATTTTTAAAATGATCTATTGGGTTACCAAATTTAATAACTCTTATTAATGGTAATATATTTTGTTAATTCATGAATTTCTATTTTCGTAGGGCTAGCAAATCTTTAGCTTTTGGGTTAAGCATTATTTTCATTATGATCCACAGTGTTAAGATTAATACTAAGGGAAGAGAGGCCCCCATGTAGTCATGGGGAAACACACCCATGAAGTTAACACAGAAAGGTTGTCCCTGGATGCTAACACCATGGGGGAGGGTCTAGCACTTCTCAACTCACCACATGATCTCCTGGAACCGTGGTTTCCCTACCTGTGAATCTGGATGGGGAGGTCCCAAGTTTCATTAATTCCTCGTCTTGGTGCAGTACAACTTCATGACCTTCTCTCCCAGCCTCAGGATTTTGTTCTCTTGCAACTTGATTTGGAACCAGGGTTGGAAAGTTCCTGTAGTGTGGGTCATTCAGATTAACTCATTTCCTGGACAAGTTGTTAAAATAGAAGTCTTCTAGGGATATCACAGTTCTCTAATACTGCTGACTCCTGATTCCTAAGTCAAGGTTGAGGTCTGGGTTAGTGAAACATCTTGCTGTGTAGGTCAGGCCATCAAAGGGGCCAAAAGTCTCATAGTTTTGCATTTATTACTGTATTTAAAACTTTTTCTGGTATTTTATTCAAAATACATCCCTGTCCATTTTTCTGTGTGCATTTTTATAAGTTTCTTCCAAATAGGACAGCAGTATCAGTAGTTACTACCCCTTTAAAATTTTCATCTCTTAGGAGAATATTGATGTAAAACTTTGATAGCTGGAATTTACTTTCTTGAGTTTCCTTAGGGTTTACATTCATCATACTCTGTCAGCTTCTTCATTCATCCCACATTATTGTATTATCATTGTTGATAATATAATAGTATTATTTTATCATTGATAAAATGAGGCTATCTTGTTTTATGTTAGGGTATACCTTATATGTTTATAAATTAAATGAGCTTTTCTTACAACATTTAAGCATAATGCTTCGTGTATGACACAAAAGTCAGTTCTTGAATTGATGCTTAAGTATTGTGAGTCCCAGCTTTATGAACAATAAGAAGACAAAACTACTCTGAATCTGTAAATGATTACCAATTTTATTTTGGTCTTCCTCAGTTACCACTTCATCACCATTCTGCAAAGTGACACTGACCCACGTCTGATTTCGATGCTGTCTGGTGAATCTGACAATGGTTATGCCTGTCCATCTGAATTATGTGTAGTGTAGCCCTTCGTCACTCTGTGTTCGTTATCAAGGTTACCATGAGCACTGTGAGCTCATGTGGGTAGAAGAGAGTAGAAAAGCGAGGGTGGAGGACGTTCCTCTAAAGAGAACACAGAGATTTTCCTTTTCAATGTATGCCAGTAGAGGAGAGTAGATTCCCCGTCTAAGAGCTAAATTCTGCTAAATATGGTCCATGTCTGTTAGTTTGATGTGTTTATGCCTGCCTCAGCCTGGCCTCTGCGTCACACCTGGACCTCAGTAGCTCCAGGAGCCCCATCCCCAGATTCCATCCATTCCTCTTCTCTTACACATGAGCCATTCAAAGATCTGGCCTTCCTGTCAAAAAGGCTCAGTGAGTTGTTCCTTAACGAACAAGGATTAAAATGTTTTCTCACATCTGAAACATGTTCGGCTAGTGGGACAAGTTGGTCTCTATACAAGATAGCTTCTGTTAAGTAGCTTGGCAGGTGGCACAAAGCCTCCCCATAGTGTTTCTGGGTCCCATGTTTGTATTATTCCTATGAGAACGAACCACAGACAACTGAAAGGGAGTTAAGGAGAAATCCACACCCTCCACCAAGGAGGATGCCTCATATCACCAGACTCAGAAACACAGATTCAAGGTCTCATTGGGAGAGGGGCACAGGGAGGTGCGGCTGCTTTGGACTATAGCTGCCCTACTTTGCCTGTCTAGCAGTTGCAAACATTTAGTCTCCTGGCTCTACTCTAGTTGCCAGATAAGGAAGATGCAATCATCAGTCTACTTCTTCGAGTACAGCTGTGGAGATTTCCACAATATGGAAATCTGAAACCCAAAATGCTCCAAGATCTGAAACGTTTAGAACCAACATGACACCACAGTGGAAAATTCCACACCTGACCTCATATGATCGGTCACTGTCAAAACACAGGTGCACTAAAAATATTGTATGAAATTACCTGCAGGCTATGTGTATGTGTATAAGGAATATATGACACACAAATGAACTTTAGATGTGCTTAGACTTAGATCCTATTCCCATGGTATCTCATTATGTATATGCAAATGTTCCCAAATCCAAAACAAACAAACAGAAAAACCTGAATGTTTCTTGCCTTCATTTCAGATAGGGGATACTTAATTTGTATTCTATCCAGTAATTCAGGATTTACAGGGAGAAACTATACCGTAATACTTAGATAATACTTAATACCATGATACTTAGATTTGAATAAATAATGCATTAGCGGTCAAGTTTCTTTAAAACACAGACCCTTGGAGCACCACAGTGTACCCTCTGTACAAACTACACTCTAGAAGGTCTGTTATATTATAATTCCAAGTTACTCAGAAGAATCAACTCACTGGGTATCAATTCTACTCAGAAGGATGGGGTTCTGTAAGAAGGCATACACTATCTGGTGTCATATTGGAGTTCAGTTGTTTGAGGAACATTGTACAAACTTAGAGTTGTCAGAATCACAATGTAGTATTTCCCCAAACTGAACTATGGTTACACAGGAAATAGCCAGCACAGAAGATCTAGCCATCAGCAAATTCAGTTTGGGGAGAATCAGGAAGAAAGAAGACCATATGTCTACTCCGGAGATAGTGAACACCTTATAAAGACCCAAAAAACTTCAGATGTGAAGGGCTCACTTTATCTTCTTCAGAGAAGAGGCAGCCATACTTTTTTCTCCATTGGGAGAAACTTGTGGCTGCAGGTTTATTTGCAGGTGTGGGGACTGGGTGGTAGTGGCAAGAGAAGCTGGGACTGGTAGAGCACAGACCTTCAATTGCTTACCTCATTTCTATTTCCAGTCATGACTCCCACCTTCCCTCACTTCTGCCACCTCTTGATCAGGAGCCTTTCAGGAGTTTATGTACCACCCCATCCTCCATTTTAGCAATCTACTTCTCCCTCACTAGGTCAAACCTGTCCAGAAAAGGTGGCGAGACAATCTGGCACTGCAGCAGAATATGGTCTGTCTGATGTCTCTGGCTTGCCCATTAAATTCTAAGATTGGTGATTATTTTCATATCATGCAAGCCAAACTCAATGAAACCACAGCCATTTCCCCCACACAAAAATAGGAACTTCCTCCCTGAAAATTCAGTTACCAGGCAGATAGTACCTAAGAGGTTTAAGCCAAAATTGAGGCTATTTCATAAACTCTTAAAGGAAATCTACTAAAATAGTATTTATTCACATTTATTAAATCAGCTACAAACCAGATCCTTGTGGGTTTCTCACATTAAAAATGAATGTGTTTCTAGACTTTTTACTATTTGTCTAGCATCAAAGCTTACTACCCATCACAGTGTTCCTCTAAGGGAAGAGACAAAGAGGGGAGACTCATGGGATTTTCCCAGGTTAGTTAAATGGATTGGTAAGTAAAACCAAGGTCCCTTTAATCACACTGACCTCTCCAATATCCTGATGTTGCTAACTAAGGATTTACCCAGGAATGTTTTTCCCCCACAAATAGGCTCAGAAATACAGCTCTTCATGAAGCAACTCTTCTTGGCCTCACAGGAAGGGAGAGCATCGTGACTTTACTAGGGTATGTTCTCTGACCTTTGGTGAATACTTCTGAGGGCCACAGTGATCTCTCTACTAACCTGTGATGATTTTAGAGGGAACCTAGTTCTTGAACTTCTATTGCTCTAAAGTGGGGAGGGTCACCATCTCACCATGTCCCCCAAGTCACTAAGAGCTTTTCAAAAAATAAAAATGTTTTCAATAAAAATGTTGTTCCCATTAAACATTTTGGTAAGACTTTGCTGCAAG